TTAAATATTTATATGAGTTATTTTGTTATTAACTTTCTGCCCAATGCTCAATTTATTTAAAATTATCAAATCAAACTTTGGCAATGATACCAATTATTATTATACAAAATAGTTCAAATGGGAATTGAAAATGTGTTTTTAGAAAATTAAATTAACTTTTATACTGAATGTTTTCAAAGGAAATAAACGAACAAATAATTCATTAAATTTAGAATACTTCAATTGAGAAGTAAAAAAAATATTTCTAACTTCATCTTAATATCCTCCACTTTTTTTCTAATGTCTCCACACTGTTTTATTCAAAACTGATCTGAACTTTAGAAATTTTGTTTTACAGGATCTTATCAATGATGTAATCTGAAAGTTGATTTTTCACAAAAATAAAAAGTTGTATTCTTCTTCTTCTTCTTCTTCTTGTGTTTAGTTTCTTTTCTGTTTCTTTTTATTTCTCTTCATTTGACATATTCAGAAATGCGGTGCAGTAAAATTTAGGTCATAAAAATAGCAAAAACTTTGTTTTAATTAATTATGACTGTTGTCGTAACTGTTCATTTCCCAAATATATTTGCCTTAACCTAACTATAAGCATGTATTGTTTGTTTTGTGTCAGGTGTTTTGAATTTTGGTTTAGAAGGAATTTTTAATTTGTCAAGATTTTCTAATATATCTATAATTATTCATTATGTAAGGATATTTTAAAGTTTACATCTCGGACTGACCTTAGTTTTTTATTCATTGTAAGTCAGTAATTAATAAATAGCTGTTTTGTTTCAGTATCACACTCAACAAGAGTGCGCATCTACGACCTAGAACCTCCAGGTTTCGTCGTATTCTCTCAATATTTAGTCACGTTTGTGACTTCAGTCATTTAGTGGTATTACTCGACCATGTAATCCTATTTATGACTATCTCTCATCCAACATTGTTAAGATCTATCTGTCACGGCTTTTCACTAAAACTCCTAGAATCGCCTCTCGAAATTAGTCACTAGCGAGTGCATGAAAAGTGTCAATGTAGCGTTTTATGGAGAATATATACATATATAATCAATAAAGTATAATTAACGCTAATAAAATCATTAAGATAATACTAGTTTTTATTTACTGAACATTTGACCCATATATTCTATAAATTCAACAACCTCCAATTTCTTATAATTATTATATTGTATTTTCACTGCCTTATATGCATCCCTAATGAATTCATTTTGAATTACAATATACATATTTTATCTGAAAAGTTAAGATCTTTAGTTTTAGTTACAATTTCTGATGTGTGAATTGTCACCAATTAAAGTTTACAGGTACTAAATAATTAATTGTTTACCAATATGTATTGTCATTGGTTTATAATGATTTTACAATGTTAATGAGCGTATTTATTGTACAACAGTGCTTTGGTCTGCTCACATACTAAAAATAATAATTTGAAAGTCACTTTTAAAAATATTCAATATAGCAGTGGATAGTGGTTCCGGAATATTTTACCTGATTGTATTGTGTACGAAATGAAAATCGACTCTTGACAATGTTAAATATTCTTTAAACACGTTAGTTATTTGTAGAATATCATAGTTTTTACCTTAGGTTACTCGATTATATCTTACAGTATGTCTTATAATATATATGTTACGTTTTATTTAATTCTTATATATATTTTCCTAAATTATTTCTAGGTAAGATAAAATATACAGAAAGTTTTGAAGCCTGTATGGAAGCATTCGATTGTTTACCGTTGGCAGCTTTGATGAATCAACAGTTTTGTGCGTTCATGTGGTCTTTCTCCGGAAATTCATACTTTGGATGATATACGTCGTGTAAGTTTGTATTTTATTGTCAACTCTTGTTCAATATTATTATCGTATATCATTTTGGAGTTAGTAAATTTTTTAAAATATTTATGTTTGACCAACAAATTTCTGTCATGATAAAGAAACCAATAAGCTTAAAATTAAAAGAGCTCTTAGGGTAAAGATATAAATATTTTATAATTTCGCCACCGCAGATGCTAAGTCAAATGTTAGATGGTATCATTGGCAAGTTTTATTCTATTATTTCAATTTACTGCTCAGTATATTTTAATACTTGAGGTTTTTACCTGTTTAACGTCTTGGCTTTTTCGACTGCTTAGTTTAGATTGCTTTTAAGGGTTATCCTTTACTTTGGACACATTCAGCTATGGAGTGTAAAAAGCAGATGCTTGATATTATGTGACTTTAATGCAACTGATATTAGTTGGACTTCGATGGCCACGGTAAAATTTATAAACCCTTTTGATAAGAGAATCCCGGTAATGAAGTATGCATTATCACAGCATGTATACGAACTCACATGTTTTAGTTCAAGCCAAGGTTTTTCGTTGTAAGAATTGGTAATCACCCATGCGACTGAGGATATCAGCAACCTAAATATTATTCCACCGTTGGGGAATAGCAACCAGACTGTTTTGTCATTCATGTTCAGAGCTTGTGAGATCATATACGATCTGGTTGAGCCTCACCCAGATGTATGGAGAGCTAACATATCAGCCATTCATGAATGTGCTGCTACGACAGATTCGTCAGTAGATACCAGCTCATCAATCGAAGAAACATGGACTATATTTAAAAGTAAGCTTATTTCAGTTACATCGTCGTTTATACCATGCTTAGTACTGCGTAGACTTAATAACTTTCTCCTGTGGACAACTTAAGGGATCAAGAAACTTCTAGGATGTAGGAAAATTCATTAGAATATATGTTCACCTCTACAGGCTTAGAACAGTATATATCCAGTTACTGTGAAACTAGGAATGCTTAAAAGGCGTTGATAAGTAAGACCAGACAGTAATGTGGAAACAATTGGTTAGGGACTGTGAAAATAGTCTGAAAAGGTTATTATCACTTACAAAGAGGTGAACTCAGAGAAGTGATGGAACCCCACTACTTTTAGTACAAGAAAATCCGTCGATATTGGCAAGAAATAATACCAAAAAGTCGAATCTTTATCGAAATAGTTTAGTAAATCGTTTTCTACCAGCAATAAGGAACGGCTAACGGTTAATTGCGATTGGGGTGGGTTGTCAATGGATCCTGTATTTGCTGAAAAAGGTACTGTCTTAAAAATACTTCAACAATCCACCTGATAAGTCCAGTGGTATTGACGATATTCATCCTACGATTATGAAAGCCCTATGGAATTAATTACTGAACCTATAGACATACTGTTCGATAAGTTTCTGCAGTAGTCTAGACTGCCAACAGACCGGGAAGACGCAATAATTAGTCCGATGTATAAGGTGGGGAGCAGAGACTTATTTAGTAACTATCAACCCGTAAGTCTGACCAATGGAGTTGTAGAAAAGATCATGTGGAAGGGAATAATCTTTTAGCCAGGGCACAACACGGTTTTTGGAAAGGCCTATCATGCTTGACAAATTTGCCTATTCCTAGAGAAAATTGGGCTGCAGTAAAAGGTCGAAATATCCATGTAGATGTAGTTTTCACAAATATAAGTAAAGCTTTAGACAGTATCCCCCATTCGGGTTTTAAATTAAAACTGGAAAGTTTTGAAATCCATTAAAAAGTCACATAATGGATAAGTGAGTTTCTCAGTGATAGGAGATAGCGGATAAGGGTGAGTCAAGCTCTCTCAGTGTGGAAACCTGCAAAAGATGGAGCCTCCCAAGATTCAATCCTTTCTCCTCTTCTTTTTATACTCTATGTAAATGAATTATCAACTGTAGCAAATCCATCCGTTCTTCTCTTCACCGATGACATAAAGATTTGGAGACCCATACATAGTATGTTAGGTAGAAGAGTATTGCAGGATGATCTCATTTCATTGGTGGCATTGATGGGCGGGTTGTTTCTAGAAGTAAATTCTGACAAGAATATTTTGATGCAAAATCAGGAAAAACTTTGCTCCAACGTTCAAAGTATTACACTAACTTCTGAATTCTAGCACACTGAAACATCAAATTCCGTAGCTACACAAAAGAAATAGCGGAAAAAGCACAGAACGAAGTAAGCCGACCGCCATTGCTTACGATGATGGCGGATGTAATAATTCCCGCCTCATTCTGATTGGTTGCTAAGCTGAAGGGCACATTTACGAAATTGAGTTGCGTTTAATTGCAGCCAAATAAATAACTATAATGATTCATATCACCACCCAATGTGATAGAATATGAAGATTTAAGAGTCATAACAAGCAGCGACCTCAAAACTAAGAGTAACCTCAAGGCTGCTGCTGCCAAAGGCTTAAGGGTATTATGGGCTGTTTGTACGTCTTTTCAGTACTTGGATGAAGAAATGTTTAAAGTATTATAGCCAACTGTCGTGAGACAGCACTTCGAATATGGGATTCAAGCAGCGAGTCCTTTTTTCAAGTATGAGGTGGATATGCTGGAACGACTCCAACAACGAAGGACTAAAATGGTAGAAGATCTCTCTTGGCCTATCTTGTGAAGACAAACTGAGACAACTTATTTTGGTTATCGTACCGTAGATTACGGGGTGATCTAATATTGGCTTATCGTATACTGGACAATGACCTTGGTATTAATGTCTTATCTTTTCTTTCTATTTAAGACTGGCCATTTGGAAGGAAATTCTAAGAAAGTTCAAGAACGGAGATCAAATCGTCTACGTCCGGGGTTCCGTTTCTCTCACTGGGTTGTGAATCACTGTAATTCTCTACCAGTACATATAATATCAGCACCTTCTGGTGATACATTCAAAACTACACTGGACCTTCACAGCGTTACAAACTGCAAGAATTAGCGTGATTCGATAGACCTCTTGTCCTTATTACTGAAGACTGAAGAGTGAACTATTAGTCTTTAGGGTTAGGAGAGCAGATTATCTAGACAAACATCACTCATCACAATCAAAAATTGTGAAAAAGCCCCTTTATGGCAAGACACAATAACAAGAAAATCAGCTATTTGGTTACTAGTACCTTGATAGTGAGGCAAAAAGGACGCCTGCAAGACAGAAATTGAAGGTCTAAAATAATGCTCTTGGAGCGCCCTGTTCAATCGTTGAGCGTGTAACGCGTTCAAATAGTACCCCACCAACTCTCAGTTTCGGTTCTCAGATTGTCCTGATCTTACGCTCGCGTCATCGCTAATTGTTGTCAACCGCTTTCATTAATAGATGTAACTTCATTTTGTATTCTTGGTGATTCATTTTCCTTATATCTCCAGATATCTTTGAGCGTTCCCCCAGTACACAACGTACCACCACATATTAGCATCTCATTAAAGGATTTACTCCTACGACAGTTCCAGCCGTTTAGTCGAGTTGCACATTGCAAACCACAGGATGGAAGAAACTGAACATGTTGCCCGGCGGCTTGACCGCATGCTAAAAAACAAAAAAATAGTATGCTTTGGTCCAGCTTTCGTAATGTATTTTCTCAGGATGATGAGTCTGCGCTGAAATACCTTAGGAGATTGCGAAGCATCGAGATGACTCTGGAAATCTTAACGAAAACCGGTGTAGGTATAATTATCAACAAGATAAGAAAGGAGTCAGAAGACCCGGAGGTTGCTACATTGGGGAAAAACATGATAAAGCAGTGGAAAAAGCTGGTCCCAGGTAGGTGAATTTTGTGCCGAAACTCTTGAATATATCTCTTGGCTTCTGGGTTTCGTATTAATGAAATGTCTTGGGACGATAATCTACCGTTTACTGTCTTGAATTTTGACTCAAAATCCATTCGTTACTATGACGTTTATTCTAATTCCTTGTCTCAACCTATAATCCTAACTTCTAGTCTCGTTTCCTCACACTGATATACGAACATGTTTCGACCACAGCACGTGGTCTAGGTCTCTCAAGGACGCTAGTATTTCTCAAAGGTCGTCCGTAAATTTTATCACCGTAAAAGTGGTATCATCAGTAGTATCAGTAGTTGCGGTCAAAGTTTAATGATCACTCGTCCCAGACTGTTGGTTGAAGCTATCGTACGGACCTAAACCGGGTGATTTACACTTAACATGACAGTCGAGCTTCATGGACTGTCACATTTTAATCTGGCCACACTTTCGATTCATGCCCACTCCTACACTCCTACAAACCTGTTGGCATAGGCGGTAGTTGGACATACGTACTGCATATCCCGACCACCCTGGCTAATGGAAATCAACCACTTCGTCAAGTGATTTTCCAGTTATCTAGTCCTTATAATGCAACTGTTGTACACTCAAACCAGTGAGGCGACACCTTTCTTTTCTTATGATAGAGTAAGGCGTACACGCAGTCAGTCAGCTACAACTTAGGACCAAGCACATATATGCATCGATCCAAGTTGCCAGACCTCATTAGCACAAGATGAACACCTAATTCATAGTAGTTACTTCAGTGATAGTAATATATAATATAAAGATTGTGCATAAGGATATAATACACGAAGAAGGGTCAGTTCGTAGAAAGAAAGGTATGAGCCAATTTTAATCTCACGGTTTAAAAGAAGACAGAGTGTATACACTTACTCCATCTTGACCGATTCTAGGCCGTCACACAGTCTCCAACTACTAGTTAGTATAGTCGCGCGGATCCCAACCAAGTAGTCTGAATCTACCAACATGGCTCAGAACAGATGTTAGTAACTTTATGGACTGATGCCACGTTTCGGTTTGGCCGCCCCTAACTTTCCTCCAACCATCCTGAACACTCGTCAGCATTGCACGTCGTGGTAATCGGTGTTCAGGCATACGTAACACGTGGTCCAACTATCTCAGTCGATGAAGATTTACAATCTCATCAACTGATTTACCATCACTCCCTAATACTCTGCGTCTAACCTCACTATTACTTACCCGGTGATCCCAGAAAATGCCAGCAATATTTCTAAGACATCTGTGATCAACTACTAGTAACTTACGACTATCCGCTACTCTTAATGACCACGTTTCGCAGCCGTAAAGTAGAACAGAACGAACTGTCACGCAGTATACTCATCCTTTAGTTGATAAATGAATATCTCCCCTTCGCCATAGACGACGTAAGGTGGAAAAAGCCAAACGAGCTTTTTGAATCCGTACAGAGATTTTGTCAGACACCAACCCATTATGTCCGATCAGACTCTCAAGATAAGTGAAGTTATCAACGCGTTCTACTACTTCGCTTCTCATTCTTAGTTCAGTTGTTCACACAGACCGGTCCTGAAGCAACAACTTGCATTTGAGGGGGAGTAGCGCATCCCAACACATACTGGCATCGTTGCTGTGTGCTACTTAGAGACTGCATTTGATCAGCGTCTTCACTAAACAGGACTATATCATCTGAGTATCCTAAGTCGATAAATGGACCATCCCTAAAATTCAGACAAAAAGAGCGTTATTTCCAGCAGTAGGTCTATGGTGAAGTTGAACAAAAATGGGGATAGTAGATAGCCTTGCTGGACACCACTTGAGGTTGCAAAATCAGATGACAAGTCACCGTAAGCTCGGACTCGACTGGTGGTGTTCAAGTAAAGAGCCTTCACAGGGTCTATATACTTCTGAGGTACGCCTCTCACTGCCACAGAATCTCGCTGTCTACAGAGTCAAATGCTGCTTTTAAGTCAAGGAAGACCACCATCGTCGGACGCCGATAAGCGTGCCCACGTTCTAGAACCTGACGGATGATGAATATGTGATTGATGTAGCCACGACCGGGTCTGAAGTTAGCCTGACTTTTTCGTGTTTGCAGTTCACGAGTCTTTGTTAGGTGCCCGATAATTATTGGGGCTAGTATTTTAAATGCTATGTTAGTCAAACTAATCCCTCAATGGTTATCGCAGGATGATTTTAACCCTTACTTATACATTAGGACAATAATTGATTGAGATCACTCAAATGGGATTACGTTTAACTCCCAGATTTTAGCTAAAATACTAGTCAACATAACCGCTAAGGTTAGACCACCAACCTTAAAGACCTTTGTAGCCAATCCATCTGGACCAGCTGCCCTTCCTCGTTTCAGATTAGCTATAGCTTTCGGAAAGTCAACTAGAGCCGAGGGACCTATTACCATTCATGCTGCTTGGGAATGGTATGTAGTTGTAGAGTAGCTGTAGGCCAGCTGAACTGCTCTTTACAGTGTTCCGCCCATCGTTCTTAACGTCTGTGCTGAGGGCACATAAGAGTGTCGTTTTTTTTCCGAGATACTCTCACGCTTGACTTCTTAATTGCAGTTTATTAGTCTGAAAAGCTGTCTCGTGTTACCTACAGCCGCTGCTGTTTCCATTTCTTCTGCTTTCGTTGCCCACCACTGCTCACAGTCGTTTCTTAGACTTTTGGTTAACCTAGATCTGATTTGTTTTCGTTGTCCATCGTATTCAGAGCCTGATGGGATGAGTTTATGAGGATCCGTCAGTGCAATAGACTTAATAGAAATCCACTGGTTTTTCGTAACCCCTTTGGTTTAAATCACTATTAGATGTCCTTGTCGTTCTCACAGCTGTTCGTATCTTTTTCCAAGTAACATCTGGGTCATCCTCGTTTTCAGAACTACCTAAGTGTGACCTCAGTTGTTCCTGGAATCTCGTCAGTCAGTCAGTCAGTCAGCTACAACGTAGGACCAGGCACATATGTGCATCGGTCCAGGTTGCCATACCGCGTCAGCACAAGATGAACACCGGATTCATAGCAATGGTTAGGTCAAAGGTAGTAATATGTAAGAGAAAGATTGCATATAGAGATATACTACAAGAAGAAAGAATTGGTTCGTAGAAAGAAAGATATGAAGCGATTTTAATCTCTTAGTTTAAGGGAAGACAAAGAGTGTATACACCGACGCCATTGTGATCGATTCTGAGCCATGTCACCAAGAGTCTCCAACTATTGGTTACGATAGTCACGCGGACCCCAACCAAGTAGTCTGCATCTACCAACATGGCTCAGACTAAAAGTTAGTGACTTCAAGCACTGATGCCACGTTTTGGTTTGGCCACCCCTAACTTTCTTCCAACCATTTCCAATACCGGATAGCATTGCACGTCGTGGTAATCGGTGTTCAGGCATACGTAACACGTGGCCCAACCATCTCAGTCGATGAAGATTCATAACCTCATCAACTGATTTACCATCATTCCCTAATACCCTGCGTCTAACCTCACTATTACTTACCCGGTGATCCCAGCAGATGCCAGCAATATTTCTAAGGCATCTGTGGTCAAATACTTGTAGCTTACGGGTGTCTTCTACTCTTAAAGGCCATGTTTCGCTGCCGTAAAGTAAGACAGAACGGACTGCCGCGCAGTATACTCGTCCTTTTATTGATAGACGGATATCTCGCCTTCGCCATAGGTGACGCAAGTTGGCAAAAGCCAATCGAGCTTTTCGAATCCGTGCTGAGATTTCGTCCGATACCAACCCATTAGGGCTGATCAGACTTCCAAGATAAGTGAAGTTGTCAACGCGTTCAACTACTTCACTCCCTATCCTTAGTTCAGGTGTTAACGCAGACCAGTCCTGAAGCAACAACTTGCATTTAGAGAGAGAGAAGCGCATTCCAAACATCCTGGCATTGTTGCTCAGTGCTACCAGAAGACTCTGCATTTTGTCAGCGTCTTCACCAAACAGGACTATGTCATCTGCGTATTCTAAGTCGATAAGTGGACCTCCTGGTAGGAGATCAATACCCGAGAACTCAGTCGACGAGAAAGTTATTTCCATCAGTAGATCTATGATGAAGTTAAACAAAAATGGGGAAAGTGGACAGCCTTGACGGACACCACTTGAGGTTGTAAAAGTAGATGACAGTTCGCCATAAGCTCTCACTCGACTAGTAGTGTTCGAGTAAAGAGCTTTTACAAGGTTTATGTACTTCTGGGGTACGCCTTTCAATGACAGACACTGCCACAGAATCTCGCGGTCTACCGAGTCCAAGCAGGTACTCCAGAATGAGCGACAATCTTGTACCGACCCTCTCCAACGATGACTGATGGCAATATGGTCTATTTGAGTCCATCGTTGGTTTGGTGCAGGCGGTCGCCACGTTAGACGATGTCTCTCCTTATGCTTAAAATTAGTGTTTGCTAAAAATAAGCGATTGTTTGAGCACAGTTGCAGCAGACGGTCACCATTATCTGTTCGCTGTGCCGGAATGCTAAAATATCCACCTAAATGCCTTTCTGTTTGGTTTAAGCTACCTATCTGAGCATTAAAGTCACCCCCTACGAGTACTATGTCTGAGCGTTTAGCTTTCTGAAGAAGTTCGGACAGCTTTCTGTAAAATTCATCTTTCACATCATCTGAGCTGCAGTCAGTGGGAGCGTAGGCAGAAACGACGAAAAGGCAACGACGTGTGTCCCTATCCTTCCGAGTTTTTACGGAGCCGTTTAGCCGAACAGCACATAGACGACTGTTGACGGGGATCCACTCTAGCAGTGCTTGTTCCGCCCTCATGCTTAGTGCTATGCCTACACCTGCCAGTCCACGAAAACTGGCCATCGGGTCACCAGATACACGTAGGGTGTATCTCGTTGGCTCTCCGTTTTGCCCGAGGTGAGGTCAAGTGAATGACCACACTGGAATCCTGTATGCGTGTTTCGCAGACACAGCATACATCAATGGAAAGAGACTCTAGGGTTTTAGCCAAGGAAGCCTGCCGACCGATTTGACATAGAGTGCGTACGTTGAAAGCTCCAATGTGTAGTTTGGAGCGAGGTTTCAGTAGACCTGGGACAGAGTTTTTAGCACTAGAATCGTTGGCTATGGTGACACTTGAGGAGGAAGCCGAAGGAGGAAGTTTAGGGTTGAAAGTCGATGTAGGAGGAATAATAGGGATTGAAGAGGAAGGTTGATTATGAATACAGTGGTCTTGGGAGCTGTTAGAGGTATGAGGGCGGTTATCACTTCCCGGTTGCCCACACCGAGGAAGGGTTCTTCTGGAGGTACCTGAAAAAGAAATTGGATTAGAAGTGGTCTCAGTGACCTGAGAGCGTGACCGCAGTGCCCAAGGGACAACTGCTTGAGGCCGGTCGCTCACGGCCTTTTCGTGGGAGGTTTTTGACGTGTTAGCTCCGTTCTTCCAAGGGGCCTTACCGCCGGAGACGGAAATCCGTGAGGTAAGGTGAGGTGTGCATTTTTAGGGTCGACCTTTTCTAACCCCACCCCTCCTTGTGGGAAGGCAGCATCGCTGTCATGCTGGTTGTCTGAAGGAAACACCTTACTGCTGTCACACCTCTGTACAGTCAGTAGTACGACTTCGCCTTCGGACCTTGGGTTTACTGCTTTTGGTCTTACCTCTTTTCAACCGACCTACCTGGCATGGTAGGACCTTGAGGGACAATTGTTCCAGCCAGTAAAGCTCGATTGGTTCATGAAGATATACAAGCCCGACCACCACGTCAAGGTAGCAGCAACGGTCGAGTTTTGATAGATTGGAAAACTAAAGATGGGTAGAATAAGGCATGAAGTCCATTCAGTCTTTCACTATCGTTTTTCTTGTGAATGTGAAACATCGCATCTAAGAATCGAAAGCACGCAGCGGTTGATAGCATTTGGACATAGCTGTCTGGAAGGGATTAGTGGTGTACATTCAGACTTTTTGGCTAAGCAGTAAATCTTGGAATGCTACGTAAGTAGTTGACTGCCTCATATTACCAACTTTCAACTACTGAAGTAGCTGGGATAGTAAAGGCTTCAATGTAAAGTGAGATCGGAAGGTAAACAAAGATGGTTCAATGTTTTTATTTATAATTACTTCAACATATCGTATTAAGATATTAATAATAGTAGTAAAATCAAGCTATTTGATTTTGTTGTTCCGAATCTGCATATCTTTAAAGTATGTTATACTTGTGTCAGGTTCACCTCTTAAAAGAGATCTTGTTTCTGTTCCTCAGGTAAAGCAATTGTTAACCTTGATGGCATATTATTTTCCAGCCAAGTGCTTAATATAATCATAGTGCTAAATCAGGGAACTATACAAACTATTAGTCGTTACTGATATTTTTGAGAGGTTACTAACGATTCCTTTTTATATTTTGTTATATTTTAGACAAAAGTGAAGCTCCTGCATCTTGCACCAATAGTGTTGGCAATAACAATAATGACAATGGCAACAATAATGACAACAAACATTCACCTGAGTCAAATAACTACAATGTCTGTGACGATGGAGGACCACAAGAAGCCAAACGGTCTCGGCCAAGTGAAAAAAAGGAATCTACAGAACTGTCGGGAAATGCAAGTCGTGGCTTTTTTCCTGTCCACACTTTGACTACAACAGATCAAGTACGTTTAAAAGCCCGAGAGATGCTTCAATCAGCACTAGAAAGTGGCAGTAAGTGACAGTAGCAGACCTACACTGATTTCATTTCTTAGATATTCCTAGCGGTGCTTATGAAAGTGAGTTCCTAGCAATACGAATAGAAAGCTCCATATATGATCTTTTCAACAATACTGATCCCAAGTACAAACAACGAGTACGTACTAGAGTTATGAATCTACGCGATTCTAATAATCCCAATTTGCGACTTAATGTCCTAATGGGACACGTAAGTCCGGACAAACTAGCATCGATGACATCAGAAGTAAGTTTTCATTATTTTGTTGAAAATCCATGTATATTTTTTCTCAGTAATCTACCATTTTGAAACTAACTTTACAGATCAGCTGATATCTTACCGAACTTGATTCTGTCATCGATTAATACTCCTATTTTAATAGTAGTGTGAATTAATCAGTTTATAACGTCTGGCTTTGCTCACATTAAGCGTGAGTTGTCCTAAACTCTTTCATTTGTGTAGTTTGCTCAATCTATTCACAGAGTGTTTGAACTTGAGTGACCCACCTAACTCATTTAGCTAACTGATCTTTTATACAAATAGTTCAGTGATTGGTAATTTGGAAGCAGTAGCATCGTAGAGCTTGATATGTATGTAGATCAGTTCAAGTTACCATACCTCATTAGCACAGAGATGACATTGTCAGACCAAATCCAAGAGTGTCAGAGGTAGTGACAGTGCCAGTGGTAATGGAAAGGATTAAACATCGAAGATAAGATTCAAGAAAATATAAGTTAGTGGAATAAAAACGATAAAATTATATGGAATTCAAAAATAATCTTAGGTGCTATTGGAGGTATGAGGACGATTGTTACTTCGTGGCTACCCACACCATGGAACAATGTTTTGCTGACTTACTAGCTAATAACCACTTGGTCTCTGTCAAAAAGTTCATCGAAATGTCGGAAAACCATCCGTTTTCTGTATCATTTATTTAGTAACCTCAATTTTTATCATCCTAATTATTTGAATGCTTATCAACCCACTTTGCAAGTTTGAAGCCTACTTTGCTTGAGTGTTGGTAATTGTCTTCTAATCAACATGTACTTAGCTAGTTAGTTGCCTATTTAAAGTTTGTTGGTTAGCGTTATATCAACGATATCTCACTCAATATCAATCTATTCAATATTCGTCATAGAAGTACCAATTTAAAAAGCATTGTGTGATTTTGGTCAATTTTGGGATTCTTCGGATAGCTATGGAAGCAAACTTGCTACATTTTCGAGCTATCTGTATTCAGTTGTAAGACGTGGTTTCTCGTATGTAAATCAAACTTAAACCTTTTACAACCATGCCAACACTACCACAGTATTAGTGTTATCTAAGACTACCACTGACCATTATGAGTTGCACTTTAAAGGGTTGGTCGGATCAATCAAATAACCATCTAGGTACACTTAAAAGTAGGTTATTACATACTGTCACTTCACTGGAGGCGTTTTTACAGTTTCCAACATACGTAACATACTCTTCCGGGGCAACATCCAGCGGTTGTAATGGAAGAGGTTGTACAAGTTTCTTGTGCACATATATTTCTTGTTTTTCCAAATATGTAGCAAATGCCTCGGCAACGCTAAGAAAACAGAAGCTCACTGTCCTTGGCAGTTTTCTACTCACTTTATAAATGACTGGATACTGAGTCCTCTTTGGTGAGACGACTTACTTCCACATGGTGTTTGATTAAAGAGCTTCCTATTGAGTCATTGTCGCCTCTTCTTAGCCAAGCTGGTTAATGTTCTTGAAGTCTTTTGGATGAAATACACATCGAACGACATATATACCTGGCTCCACAGGAATATGTTATTTGATGAACTCACATGGGATTGGTCAAATGAGTTAATTCATCTTTGAGGTTATTACTAAACATTGGCCGACTAGAGGGCACTTATTGCAAGGTTGCTGCGAAGAACAATCTATTGGAAGTCAGCGATTATGCTCTTCAGGATATCTTTATTTGTTTTGCCTCACTATTATTGCCATTGTTATTATTTTGAAAAATATGTATAGATTTGTGATTATACAGCTTTGAAAATGAATTCGTCGAAGAGATCTCTTCGCTAAACCAATCTTCCTTAGTTAATATGACAAGCTATTCAGTCAGTCAGTAACAACGTAGAACTTCGTACGTACGTACATCAGTTCGAGTTGCCACACCACATTAGCACAGAGATGCACTTGTCGATTCAAATCCCGTAGTGGTAGAGGTAATAAGAGTATAAGCAGTAATCGGGAAGATTAGGGTTTGGAGATGTTATTTAAAGAGTATAATCCAGTGAAAGAAATTTGGAAAGAGGAAAAAAGGGACATGAAGAATTCAGAAGATTAGAATTTGGGAGAACACAGAGAGTGGATGCACCTGCGCCATTGCAAACGATTTTGAGCCATGTCATTCAGAGTCTCTAACCATCGGTTGCTGTCATCTCGCGGTCCCCAACCAGGTAGTCTACACCTACCAACATGACTCAGTTCACTTGTCAGTGACTTCATGGACTTGTGCCATGTTTTGGTTTGACCGCCCCTAGCTTTCTTCCAACCTACTCCTATACCACTGAACATAGCACGTCGAGGCAGTCGGTCGTTGGGCATACGTAACACGTGTCCAAGCCATCTCAACTGATGAAGTTTCACTACTTCATCAATTGATTTGCCATCCTTACCTAGTACCCGTTTCCTAACAACTGTGTTACTTACTCGATGGTCCCATGATATACGAGCAATGTTTCGAAGACACCTATGATCAAATACTAGTAACCTACGGATATCCTCTACTCTTACCGGCCATGTTTCACTGCCATAAAGTAGGACGGAACGAACTGCTGCGCAGTAAACACGTCCTTTGGTTGATAGACGGATATTTCGCCTACGCCATAAATGACGCAAGTTGGCAAAAGCTAGTCGAGCCTTCTGTATCCGTGCTGAGATTTCGTCACACACTAAACCACAAGGGCTGATGAGACTTCCAAGATAAGTGAAGTGGTCGCCACACTCAACTACTTCACTCCCTATCACTAGTTCGGGTGTCGATGTAACCCAATCCTGAAGCAACATTTTGCATTTCGAGGGGGAGAATCGCATCCCGAACATGCTTGCATTGTTGCTTAGAGTGGTCAGAAGACTCTGCATTTTGTCAGCGTCTTCACCAAATAAAACTATGTCATCAGCATATTCTAAGTCAACAAGTGAACCTCCTGGTAGGAGTTCAACCCCTGTATATTTAGATGAGGAGAGTGTTATCTCTAAAAGTACGTCAATGACAAAGTTGAACAAGAATGGAAAGAGTGGACAGCCCTGACGAACACCACTTGAGGTGATCAATTCTGATGACAGTTCGCCATAAGCTCTCACTCTACCAGTTGTGTTCGTGTAGAGAGCCTTTATAAGGTTAATGTACTTCTTTGATACTCCTTTCAGTGACAGACACTGCCATAGAACATCACGATCAATAGAGTCGAATGCCGCCTTAAGGTCGAGAAATACTACAATTGTGGGGCGTCTGAATGTGTGTCTGTGTTCTAGAACCTGACGTAGTGTGAATATCTGATCTATACAACCACGTCCAGGTCGAAAACCAGCCTGGTTTTCTCTAGTCTGCTCTTCACGAGCTTTAGTTAGGCGTCGAAGTATTATTGAGGCTAATATTTTAGACACTATATTAGTCAAACTGATTCCTCTGTGATTGTCACAAGAGGACTTTTGTCCTTTCTTAAAAACTGGCACAATCAGTGATTGAGACCAGTCAGATGGGATTACGTCCAGTTCCCAAATTCTACCTAAGACCTCGGTTAATCTCATTGCTAATACTGGACCACCATCCTTAAAAATCTCAGAAGTAAACCTGTCAGGGCCTGCTGCTCTCCCTCGTTTCAGATTTCCTATGGCTTTTTCAACTTCGTAAAGGGACGGAGGACCTACATTAACTTGCCATTCAGGTTGACTAGAGATCGTGGGAAACCGAAGTGTGGCTGAAGGCCAGTTGAACTGATCCCTAAAGTGTTCTGCCCATCGATCCAATCTCCTGGATTGAGAATGAATAATATGTCCATCTTTCTCTGAGATTGTTTCGCTAACGGTTGGGTTCCTAATTCCGGTTTCCTTAACGAGTCTGAACAATTGTCTGCTATTACCTATTGCCGCTGCCTTTTCCATCTCTCTTGCTTTCGCTACCCACCACTGTTCACGATCATTGCGTAGACTTCTTGTCAGCTTGCGCTTAAGCTGACTCCGCTCTTCAATATGTTCAGAGCCAGGTGGAATGTGTTTCCGAGCATTTATCAGTGAGATAGATGCTGCTGAGATCCAGTGTTGCTCCCTAACCTTCTGGTTTACCTTACTAGCAGATATCACTGCTGTTTCCACAGCTTTTCGGATATCATTCCATGCTGCCTCGGGGTGGGCATCACATACATGGCTGCCTAACTGTTTTCCTAGTTGTTCCTGAAATATACTCTTAGCTTGACTATCATTAAGTAGGCCCTAAGAGGTTTCCTTGCAGGATCTTTCCTACGTCCAGTAAGACGCAAGCAAATACGCGCTCGCACTAGAGCATGATCTGAATCTAGGCATGTGCTCCAGAATGAGCGACAGTCTTCTATCGAGCCCCTCCATCGGTGGCTGATAGCGATGTGATCTATTTGGGTCCAACGTTGGGACGAATTAGGGGGTCGCCATGTTAAAAGATGTTTTTCCTTATGCTTAAAGTTAGTATTTGCAAGGAACAGGCGGTTATCTGAGCATAGCTGCAACAGACGGTCGCCATTATCTGTTCTTTGAGCCACGATGCTATAAGATCCACCTAGGTGTCTTTCCTTATCGCTTAGTTTACCTACTTGAGCATTAAAGTCACCGGCCACTATTACTACATCCGAGCGCTTAGCTTTTCGGAGAAGGTCCGAAAGCTTTCTGTAAAACTCATCTTTTACATCATCTGAGCTGCAGTCAGTGGGAGAATAGGCAGAGACGACGAAGAGGCAACGACGAGTGTCCCTATCTTTCCGGATTCTTACTGTTCCGTTCAGTCGGACAGCGCACAAACGACTGTCTACTGGGATCCAGTCTAAGAGAGCTAGTTCTGCCCTAGGACTCAATGCTATACCTACGCCGGCGAGGCCACGGGAAGCAGAATCAGGGCTTCCAGATACACGAAGCGTAAATCGAGTCGGTTCTTTATTTTGGCATGTTGAGGTCAAATGAATGACGCTACTTGGGTCCTGTATGCGCGTTTCGGAGACGCAGCACACATCGATGTCGCGAGATTCTAAAGTTTTAGCTAAGGAAGCCTGCTGTCCTATTTGGCAAAGTGTTCGTACGTTAAAAGCTCCTACGTGTAGTTTAGAGCGTGGTTTCAGGAGACCAGGAATGGCGTTCCACGTACTCGAATCGTTTGCCCTAGCGGTGCGAGGTGATAAAGAGACGTGAGGAGGGTTAGTCGGGAGGATAAGAGAGGTATTAGGAGGTGTAGGAAGGATTTGAATGTGACCACCTTGGTCTCTTGTGCTGTTACGGGTATGAGGGCTGATGTCACTTCCCGGCTGCCCACACCGTGGAAGGGTATTTCTTGAGGAACCTGAAAAGGAAATTGGATTAGTGTTGGTCTTGACGACCTGGGAGCGTGACCGCAGAGCCCAAGGGACAACTGCTTGAGGCCGGTCGCGCACGGCCTTTTTGTGGAAGGTTTTTGACGTGTTAGCTCCGCTCTTCAAGGAGCCTTACCGCCGGAGACGGAAATCCGTGAGGTAAGGTGAGGTGTGCATTTTTAGGGTCGACCTTTTCTAACCCCACCCTCCTTGTGGGAAGGCAGCATCGCTGTCATGCTGGTTGTCCGAGGGAAACACCTTACTGCTGTCACACCTCTGTACAGTCAGTAGTACGACTTCGCCTTCGGACCTTGAGTTGCTGCTTTTAGTCTTACCGTTCGCCAATCGACCTGCCTGGCATGGTAGAACCTGCAGGAACATATGTTCCAGCCAATATAGCTCGGTTGCTTCATCACGATAGGCAAGCCCGACCACCGCGTCAAGGTAGCAGCTTCGATCGGGATGACAAGCTATTAGGTTAGACTAAATGAATACCTATGATTTCCAAATACGTTATATAATTCCTTTTCAAAATAATCCAATAATTCATTATCCGAATATTATAGTGTACCCAGTTTATCATTCATTCACAAGTATTTGAGGTCATAAAACTATTTTCATGCATAAATCCTCTACAAATTATTAAAGTGGCACAATTCTTCAAGTCCGTTTTTAGAAGTATTTCTCTTGTTATCGAATGGTTTAACGTTTTAGTGACATATAAGGTTGATCGATTGAAGTGAACTAATACGTTGTGACCAATTAATTGACAACTAATCACGAGATACAACCTCCTGACTTGTTACAACAGCCTAATAATCCGTGCTATCTCTACTGAGTCAGTTGGTGGTCATCAATATTCAGTCTATTCGGGTTTCTTTGTAATGCTCATTATTGATCATACAACTAATTATTTTCAGGACCATGTATACACAAAATCCACTTTAGTTTCCCGAATCTATTCATTAAAAGCAAATAATGATACCATATGTGAAAGTTAGATCTGTGTTGTTTACGAAAGCTGCATACACCAATTCAGAATGATTAAAGGAATAGCAACAGAAGTACTAGTATTAGTCACTTAAATACAATAGAACCTTGTGCTGTTTCCTAACGGGGCTTGCTTCAATAATGTTTTTGATTGACGGTTACAGACTATCTATCGATCAACATGTTATCCACTATTCTTAACCGGAATATGACTAAAGCTAATTCGAAACCCCCCCATGTTACAATTTAATTTTAGTAGGATACGTAACTATTTTCTTAAGTTCCTTATTTATTGATTTGATTTTGTAGGAGATGGCTAGTAAAGAAATGAAAGAACTTCGTGAGAAATATACTAAAGAAACTATAGAAGACCATCAAATGGCTGTAACTGGTGGAACGGAAACTGATTTATTACGATGTGGAAAGTGTAAGCAGACCAAGTGTACATATAACCAGGTTAGTTGCCTTTAATTATCCTCAAATAAAATCTGGAAATAAAAGTCATCATTGATGACGGTAGGTGATGATCTTACTGTATCACAAATTAACTGAAATTTAAGTGCAAACCATTAGGTCCAAAGTAAGTGACTTATAAGTGGCAAACTTGTTGCGTGGCCGTAAATTCCTGGACTCATGCTCCTTCGGAGTTATGAATGTGCATTGCTAAGAAATTTCAGAACAGGTAGATAGTGCCTTTTTCTTCTATCGCTGATGTCCTCCAGTAATAAAGCTATATTCACGTTAAACTAAGTAACATATCTTACTCGACTGAATACGAGATTATATAAAAGTATTTGTTTTTGATCACAACTCATATTCTATAATTACTTGTTGCATTAAAGAAAATCTGTTCATCACGTAACTGTTGTACGTTGACTAACAGTTACATGCGTTTTGCAGTGATGCAATCTTGTTAATGTTTAGCTTTAGTTCATTTCTGATTTAGTGCTATTTCTGTCCATAATTCGTTATGCATGAATTCTATATTCTCAATTATCTTGTATATTTTGTCATTCGTTTTTGTCTATATCAGGTTATCATATGAAATGTTTCCAAATAAAACATATTCATTTCCACTAAACATTTTTATGTGAATGCTTTTCCATGTTCTGTTATTTCAATCTAAAAAGTGATAATAAATGCGAGTCGATCGGTAGTCAGCACATTTTGTGATATGAAAACTTCAGTAAATATGTATCTGCTTTTCATAGGCACTGGTATATTTCGCTTATGCTATCCTTTGCTCCCTACCTATTTATGCAGCTCACATTTTAATTAAAAGTTACAACATGCAGTATCATTTTATTTACTTGATACGGTAGGATTCAGTCATTTTTGTCTTCTCTCAACTTGTGTTATATTCTTTTAGAAACATATATACTTCTTTCCATAGGTCCAAACTCGTAGTGCAGATGAACCAATGACCACTTTTGTCTATTGTAACAATTGCGGCCACCGTTGGAAAGTAAGTTCCACTTAATTGCTTTGTTATAATTTCACATGTCTGGACCTTACTTTAGGGGGCTTATTTATATTAGTCGCAATAAATTTCCCTAGTTATCTCGTGCGCTCTCAGTGAATACTCCTTTACTTGAAGCAACTCTAATATACTTTTGTTGCTTAGTAAAAGCTTTTCCAAATGAAGATCTACTAAATGAAATCTTGAATTGTAACAAGTCTCGAACTATACATTTTCCCAACTGGGGTGTTGTTATAACGTTCTCCATCATATTTATTTTAAAGCTGTTGAGCTTAAACCCTAACTAGTGATGTTATTGGATTGTGGCGCTGCTACATGGCCAGGAATAGTCCTGCATTGTTGATTGTAAAGTGAATTAACAAATTGACCTAATTTTCTTTAGTGGTTACGGTCTATTTCACACTTACCAGCTCATTAGCATGTAGGTAGCTTGTTGGAGATTCAATCGATTACTGTTGACATTGATTCCAAATCTTTTCGCAAAGCCATGCCAAAATAGAATTTCCGTAATAAGCTTAAAATCTATGGTTAAACTACTTCTATGTTCTTAAATACCATTCGCTAAAAAAGCATTTTTGGCGGGTTCTTCCAGAGTCCTAACTTGTGCTTATTTCTTATTCTTATCAATTTTGAGCGTTGAATGTATCAGATGTAAACAAATAGTTTCTCATTGGAGACAATTCAATATAGTTGACAGGAACTAGTTTCGTGATGTAATGAAGTTGGAAGTAAAAGTGGATGACAATGTGAATATCATATAATACCACAAAAACTAAAGCAATTGAATAACTTATTTTTTGCATAGTAAGATTGAGTTGTATTAACTCGTCAGTCTGTTTTTGTATATTATGTCGTGATTTAAAAAAAATAGCTATGTTACTGTTCAGGTTCCTGGATCCAAACAGTTGTTTTTCCGAGGGAGCTGACTATCTTCAAGCTTGTTGTGTAAAAGCTCAATCCATAAAGCAATTAAACAACGTTGGGGAATGCATTTCCATAGTATCCGATGACTAGGTGAACGTAGATTATTACTCTATTTCCAATCAAAAGTCAAAATGATGCTTATATGTTCACCAGTAATAAGGAGTTTAACGCAAAACAGAAATCTGTTGTCATTAAGTTGGTGTTCATTAGCATGCGCACTCATGAGCTGATTTATTTACAACCCGACATTAATTGATCATCTAATCATTTTTTCAAGTAAGTTGTCTGTCTTTTTTTCTTGTAATTATAACATTGTTTACAACAAGCATTTGAAAATTTGTTTTTCTAACAGTTTTGCTGACAGCTCGGAAAAATCATTGTCCAACCACACTTATCCACTAATTTTCTGCTGCGATACTTAATTAAATTGTTTCAATGTGAACACTAATACTAAAGAAGAAACTAGAGAAGAAATATCCATCTTCGTTTTTGACTTTGTTCATTCTCGAAAATCTGTTTTTTAGGAAGAAATAGACTGTCATAGTTGGACAAAAAGATGAATTATGTCCCATTATTTTTTTTCTTGCGACTTGTCTTATATTGTCTGTCCAAATATATCTGACACTTGTGTGTAAATATTTTGCATGTATATGTTGGTGTTTGCGAATCGCTCTACATGAAAATGTCAGTTTTATTACATAAAATCTTTATAATATACTTTGGTAAAAATGTATAGGGAAACAGTTTTCCGCTGAGATTGTCGACCTGTAAAGTTGCTACTATACTCCTAGTGTATATTTTACCGCTTTATGTAACACACAATAATTGTTATTCTATTTTTAAGTCCTCATTGTATTAAAAAAAACCATGATTTATTCATATATATTGTTTCTGTAATTTTGCTTTAAGACTTCATAATTAAAGTAATCTTCATTAATTCATCTACAATATTGCCCTTCCTATAGCAGCTTTAAATTGTACACAAATAAAATAGTATTGTTTTAATCCGTATTTCAGAGTGATATAGTAAGTTATGGCTAATCAAAGCTTTGCCAACATTGTATCAGTTTTATTTGTTAGAGTATTGTCTAGACCATTCTTTCATCTATCCAGTCATTCGAACGCTCTGTAGAACCTGGCATACATGTGCATCGGCTCAAGCTTCCACACCATATCAACGTAGGGAGATGCCAGATTGTAAACTTAATAGCAATATCCGTTGTGGTAGGAAAGATTCGGCATAAACAATATGATTATAGGAGACATGAATTTGTGGGATAAAAAAAGTACAAGGGGATTTCAATACTCGAGATCTGAGATCAGACAAAGATCCCTGTTTAACAAACACAAGTCAACTGGAGAGTGAGATGACCAACTCATTTACCCTTAACAAATCAAAATCATGTCACCTATATCTTATGATTATTGGTTTGTGAAATCATTTTAAACTCGAGTTTTTTATCGTAATGGAGCGTTTATCTTTTGTTCAAATCAACTTTGTTTGACCAGCTATATGTATTAGATCTACCACTAACTGATTCATTCGACAAAAAGTTTATATAACTTTTCATGAGTATAGAGATCTACAGTGTTTATTAATTTAAACAACTATCAGTGAAATAGTTATGTTGCCCTCGTAAACACTGCAGTTTGTTTGCTAGATACGAAGCTGAATTGAGAGATTGAATTCACACATAAATTATTCGTTATTTACTGGAAAAACAGGATTTAGAAACTAATAAGTTAATTAAACTGCGAAAATATGTTACTACTGATTATAATCCTACTACAGATTTTAGACTTAGAGTACTAGGTAAAGATGGTAAGTCGGTTGGTGAAGTAGAGAATATCCATCGACTGTAGTGATTGGGATACGTATTATGTTTACCAAAACACAGTGGAAGCGTGTTGTTTGATGGTGTAAGATTTCGTTGGAAGAAAGCTAGGGATGGCCAAACCAAAACGTGTTTTGAGTTAAACTGAGGCAGGTGGATGAAGTTACGAAGCTATAACTTAAGGGTTGGAAGTTGAGTGCTTTAGCCTCTTAGTCACAATGGCTTGAAAATTCAGGTAGAAAACAATATTAAAGACAAATTTTGGTCATCCATATTGTCGGGTAATCTGAATCTCTAGTTTCGCAAAATGTACTGTTAGCATCCTGAATATGTAGAAAATGCAGGATAGGGTGTATCAAGTGCGAAAATATAGAATTATTAAAGTTTATTCTTAAATAAAATGCACACTTTGTCCTCAAGTACCTACAGAGAATTACTAAAGTGTAAAAAACAATTTTTCCTCATTATAACATATACCGAACACTTAGAAACCCAATGAAATGTATCATAAGCTTACTACGTTATTTTGTGATTTTTTTTTAAATGACAGCTGTCCAAACATCGTTTTATCTACTGTTAATCAACTTTTGAAGAGTGGCTGCGATAAAATCTGATAAGCTTTCAGTTTACATTAAATATTACATTCACATCTGACAATTTTACTCCCATTTGTTGAAGGATTAGTATTTTAATTAAAAAATCCCTCTTACGAGTTTCTGGTTGGTAATCAATTTCATGTTATTGAATCATTAAAGTTAGTGGAAGCATAACTACTAAACCTACAATATTGTTATTCATTTACGTGAGTTGTCAATTTTAGTGTATTATATTGAAAGTTAAGCATTCTACCAATTAGTTGAAAACAAATTATAAAAATCTAACTATTATACTGAGTAAAACACTGTATTGACCCCCTGCTAATGAATACAAACCACTACCAATACTTTTCTTACAAAAAATCAAAGTTTAAACCTTGAATGATCAATATACTCCATTTATAGTTTTATTGTCAGTTCAGTCTTCTCATTTATACATAACATTAGGGTGAATAGTTACACAAAGAAATAATTCACTTTAAACGATCAGCTCGTAACGTACACAGTTCTTAGTCCGGATCGAATTCTGTTGATTAAATTTGTCTAGTGGCCATTAAAGACTATATATAATTGGTTGCTATTTCATACTAATATATCAATATGCTGCGTTTGAAGAGATTACGAGATCACTTAAAATCAGCAACACAACGACAAGACAAGCTTAACATTTCCGTTGCGTCCCAGCCCCGCTAATTAGAGGGGGAAAGATGTGGTACAGATGAAGGAGAGGTATATTCCACAAGTAGCCAGAAGTACTAACAACAGAGCATACATCTCAAGCGTATATATGCAGCATAAAAATGTTCATCTGATACAAAATATTCAAAGGGAACGGATGAATGAAATTTAGCGTCCTTTCAAGTAGGAAATACCATCTGAAGGTGAAAATAGTCGCGAAAACTAGGGATTCAAACTTCCAAAATAAAGTTACAAAAATAGGACGTTTACGAAGTGATTTCTTGTAACCGAGCATCCCCAACACAACAAGCGTTACAATCTTTATTCAGGCTGGTCGTGTCTTTGACTTCGACAGCGAGTAATATTGATTCATATCTCTAGAGAAGGGGCTCCAGCTTACCAAGGATTGAAACACTGCTTTGCTAATAAATAGGAACTATCACCAACCCCTTTCTAGGAGCTTTAATACTAGCTGTACCCGATCACAAACCTTTGTTTGTGATAATTGACAAAGATTTTTAGTAGTAACCGGTTAATGTTAGATTTTATTAGTACAGGATAATGTACACTTAATTGGGTGACTTTCACAGGGAAAACAGCTTTCAAACTAAATAAAAATGTAATCTTCATGGTGCAACGTTTGGAAAGTTTTCGTATATTCTGTACATAACTACGTACAACTCATACCACTTATGTTTTATTTTTTAGAGAAACAACTATTTTTATCAGTTTCCATTAAGGAAATAGTAGTAAACGGACATTAGTAGGATTCAGATTACATAATGGTAATTGAGCCTGTCATAATGGCGGAATTGGAAACATTTTTCAATCATTCTGGTAACTAATAATTAATTGGTGGGATACGAACAACTTACTAAATAAATCTGATAAATTTACTGCAGTAACACAGAATTCGTCACGTCTATCAAGGATTCTTTATGGTAAACCTCATTAAATATTATGCATGGTTTTGTATTGTATTTGATTGACTAGCGATTAGTTGATACTTAAAAAATACCACAAACACAACATAGTACTTGTAAGTAGCCAACAAACTAATATTATAATTCCTTCCTTCTCTGTGGTAATTTACTCCCGACTATTCCGCACTAAATTTTCAAGTTCTGACTTATTAAATTGATAGCATTAATAAATGTCGCTAATTGTATTCTGGAAGCGTGATTTTCAAAAATGTTGAATAAAATGGAAAGTTAATCGCGGTAGGAACGTTTACAGATAAAGGATGAGACGTGACGGTTAATTGTAAATATACATTGATAAAATGTTTCTGTCTGATATTTAAGAGATTCCATCCAATTAGAGGTAACTCAGTAGAAATTCTCATGAATAACCTGAACATAAAAGGAAGTGTTATTTAATTTCTTGTTAGAAACCAAAGTGTAATATCAAGTTTTAAAATCTAACATTAGTGTTTTGCGTTATCCCTAAGAAATATATCATGAAATGTTTTTTAATGTGTATTGATCACTAGAAGCTGGTAATTATATCTCAGATTCCCTTCATTACTCCATAAAATCTTACGGTAATTATTCGTTAAACGATGTTTCATACCTAGAATTTCAACCAGAAATGTGTTTAAAACACGTTCCAAACTCATTTAGACTTAAAGTAATTTGGGGAAACAATTATTTATACCTGTTACTCTTTGTGGAGGAGCATGGGCCTCTCACCAACATCCTCTATCCTGGGCAATCCTTTCCCGTTTCTATTCATTCTTTTGATGCCTGCTTTTGATTCTCGACTCAGTGTGTTCTGTGGTCTTTTCCGTTTCCCTTGAGGATTCCAGCTAAGCGCTTGCCTAATGATGCAGTTTGGTGATTTACTCAATGTATGTCCTGTCTACTTCTAAAATCTTTTCCCAATTTTCTCTCCAACTGGGACCTGGTTTGTTCTCTCACACAGTAGGTTGTTGCTGATGCTATCTGACCAACGGAAATTAAGTATCTTGTGTAGACAATTGTTTATAAATACTTGTTCTTTCCTGATGATGGTTGTGGTAGTTCTCCAAGTCTGAGCTTCGTACAGTAGGACTGTCTTGACGTTCGTATCGAAGATTCTGACTTTGATATTGGTTGACAGTTGTTTTGAGTTCTATGCGTTCTTGAACAGTAGGAATGCTGTCCTTGCTTTGCCAATCCTTGCCTTCACGTTTGTATCGGATCCTCTTTGTTCATCGATGATGCTACTCAGCTACATGAAAGATTCCACCTCTTTCAGAGCTTTTCCATCAAGTGCGATTGGTTTGTTGTTCTCTGTGTTGTATTTGAGGATGTTGCTTTTTCCTTCGTGTTTGTTGAGGCCTACTGATATGGAGGCTTCTTCTGAACAGTTTGTCTTGAACCTCATTTGTTGATATGTATGGGCTAGAAGCATCAGGTCATCTACGAAGTCTAAGTCGTTTAGTTGCATGCAAGCTGTTGATTGTATTTCGTGCTTCTCCTGAGATATGGAGGCCTTCATATTCCAACCACCAGAAGAAAGAGGAAGGAAGATGGTAAGCATCCTCGCCTGACTCCGGTTGTCACTTGGAATGTGTCTGTCAGCTTTTCTCCATACATAACTTTGCACTGTAATCCGTCGTATGAGTTCCGGATGATTATCGATCAACTGTCTTTATCAGTCAAACTTTAAACACTTAAGTCAGCTGTTAAAATCTTTGTCTCGTCCCACTGGTTTTTGTGATCAAACAGTATGGTTGTGAACTTATTGTGAAAAGAATAAAGCTTATCCATTTTATTTGGATCAAGTATCCAGCTGAGTGTACTTACAAAAAGACTTAATCAACGATACGAGAAATAAATCAAGTGTTCAGTACGTATTTTTATGAATCGATTATACGACTGAACAATTAGTTCTCATCACGGACTAAATTCAATCGGTTTACAATTATTTATCACCCA